AAAAATTCAAGCCTTGATTTGTAATATGGAAGAAGTCCTGATGTGGTGCTGCAGGAAAATGCACTCGACACCAAGGTCAGTTTGAACCACAAGGTTGGTGGTTCAAATTCACCAGTCACCACAACATAGAAATGACTCAATGGCACCGAACAATAACAACATAGGCAAAATACTGAATGAGGCAGAAAGCATCAAAAGAAGATGGAAGGAATACACAGAGCCACTGATGTTCAACCATTTCAAGAGGTAGCATATGATTAAGATTTAATGATACTGAAAGAAGAAGTCCAAGGTGCATTGAAGGAATTGGCAAAGAACAAGGCTCTGGGAATTGACGGAATAAAAACTGAAATCTTTCAACAAACTGATGTAGCACTGGAGGAACTCACTCACCTATGCCAAGAAATTTGGAAGAAAGCAACCTTGCCAACTGACTGGAAGAGATCCACATTTGTGCCCATTCCAAAAAGAAGTGACCCAATGGAATGTGAAAATCATCTGACAATATCATTAACATTGAATGCAAGTCAAATTTTGCTAAGGGTAATTCAAAAGCAACTCCAACAGTATATTTAGGGGACTAGCAGAGGTTTATGCCTGATTCAAACAAAAATGTGAAACAAGGGATATCATTGCTGACATCAGATGGATCTTGGCTGAAAGCAGAGAATACCAGAAAGATGTTTACCTGTGCCTTACTGACCACACAAAGGCTTTTGTTTGTGTGGATCATGACACGCTATGGACAACATTGCAGAGAATGAGTATTTCAGAACACTTAATTGTGCTCATGAGGACCCTGTACAAAGAGGCAGTTGTTTGAACAATATAAGGGAACACTGAATGGTTTAAAATTTGGAAAGGTGTGCACCAGGGTTGTAGTCTTTCACCATAGTTATTCAATCTGTATGCTGAGTAAATAATCTAAGAAGCTGGATTATATGAAGAAAAATGTGGCATCAGGACGGGAGGAAGAATCGTTAACAACCTGCAATATGCAGATGATACAACCTTATTTGCTGAAAACAAAGAGGACTTAAAATGCTTTATGATGAAGATCAAAGACCACAGCCTTTGGTATAGCTTGCAACTCAATGTAAAGAAAACAAAAATCCTCACTACTGGACCAATTAATACCATCAAGATAAATGGAGAAAAGATTGAAGCTGACAAATACTTCATTTTGCTCAGATCAAACATCAACACTCACGGAAGCAGCAGCAAAGAAATCAAATGATGTATTGTATTAAGCAAATCTGCTACACAAGACCTCTTTAAAGTGCTGAAGAGCAAAGATGTCAGTTTGAGGACTAAGGTGTGCCTGACCAAGTCATGGTATTTTCAGTAGCCTCATGTGAAAGTTGGACAATGAGTAAAGAAAACTGTAGAATTGATGCATTTGAGTTATGATGTTGGAGGAGAATATTAAAAATACCATGGACTGCCAAAAGAACAAACAGATCTGTGTTGGAAGAAGTACAGCCAGAGTGCTCGTTAGAAGCCAAGAGGGCCAATGCTTACCCTACAGAGCCACCAGGGTGCCTTCCTGTTCACCTCATAGACCTGTCTAATGATAAAGTTGGTAGTTCAAACCCACCAGCTGAAAAAGACGAGAGGCTGGCTGCTCCCATAAAGATTTATAGTCTTGTCAAAGGGAGGAATGCAATAGTTACAGTGAATAGAGGTAAATACTGTGAAATGTTGATACATGGAGGGGACTGCAACATGTAATGAAGTATATGATTTGTTGAATGTAAAACTGATGATCTGCTCTGTAAATCTTCACTCAATTCACCATAAAAAGTTGAAAATATTAAATTAAAAAAAAAAAAAGATTTATAGTCTCAGAAACCTTACAGTGTTTTGTTATGAGTCGGTAGTGACTTGGCGGCAACAGGTTTGGCTTTTTAATGTTTACTCCCTGCTAGGCCCTGTGATAATCTCATCACATTCTCAAACCCACCTTATAAAGGTGAGTACTGGTCTCATCCCCAATTTTATAGATGGGTAAACAAAGAGAAATGGTTAAACTAGCCAAAGTGAATGAGGAAGCCAAGGTGTGATCCTCCATGGGCTTTTAAGTCTGAAAACCACAATGCTCATGCAAAAGGCCAGCAATCTGATTTTTACAAAATCAGCCACTGAAAACCCCAGTGGAGCACAGTTCTCCTCAGGCACACGTGGGGATGCCATGAGCAGGAATCGATTTAATGCTAGCTGATTAGCTAGCATTTAGCAGAGCATAAATACACACAAAGGGCATATGACAGATTCTAGAAACTCCATTCCTCTGCAAATGACAAGTCAAGGAAGGTAGTGGAGTCTGAGCATGAGATCTGGCTTCTCCTCCAGCTCTGCTAGCAGTTCAGGGGAGACAAGACAGCCAAGTCTGTCTCATGCCCCATTTCCCATCTATGGAATGGGGCACTGAACAGGACAGCCATTGAGGGCTTGCTTCCAGTCCTGAGACAATCGCTCTTTAGACCTGCTCCAGTTAGAGAGGATGGAAGCTGATCTGAAGAGGAGGCTTCACCTCATTTAGGGTCAGTAGCGGCCACAGTAAAGTCTGGAGCACAAAGAAGGGTGGATAAAAAATGGAGATGGGAGTGGAGTTAGGGAATCTTAATAAAACTGGGGACCCAAACAGTTGGGGGGCCTGGCAGGAATGGTGTTGGTGGTAGTTATGTGCCATGGAGTTTGTTCTGACTCATAGCATCCCTGCATAGTGTTTCTGAGGCTGTAAATCTCTATGGGAGCAGACAGCCTCATCTTTCTCCCACAGAACTGCTTGTAGTTTCGAACTGCTGACCTTGAGGTTAGCCTGACTCATAACCACTAAGCTACCAGAGAATGGAGAGTCTTAAAAAGATTAGACAAGTTTTAACAGGCTAAGGAGCCCTGAATAGTACAGGAATACTTGCATGTAAAGAGAGTCACTAATAAGACTTGGAACCCAGACAAAATTGGGACACTCTAACAGAATTGGATTTTGACAAAAAAAAAAAAGAAGGTTCTGATGGAGCAGGCAGATTGGGAGAAGGGAAGAACAAGGTGCGAGTGCTTAAGGATTCAAAAGACCCTAGGAGGATTGTTGCTGTTGTTGTTAATTAAGTGTCGGTTCCTACACAGGGTCGCTATGGGTCGGAACCGACTCGATGGCACTTAACAACAACATAGTATTTCCGAGGAGCAGCTGGTGAGCTTGAACCGGCGACCTTGCGGTTCAAAGCTACTTTGCAGTCTGGCCCATTAACCCACAGCGCCACTCCAGGATTAAAAAGCCTGATCATTTGGGAGCCCATAGGGTGGAAGGATTGGGTAAGTGCTAAAACGATTTTGGGGCCTTGAACTCATGGTGTGGCGCTGTAGGACAAGCTGGACTGGACTGCTAACCGCAAGGTCAGTGGTTCAAACCCACCAGCAGCTCCTCAGAAACGCTATACAGAGTAACTAAGAGTCTGGACTGACTTGACAGCTCCTAACAACTACAAAAACAACAATAACAAAAAAACGGGGGAGCCTTAGCAGACCCCAGGGCACAAACCGGACTGTGAGACTCCTGTAAAGCTCCTCAGACCCCAGCAGGTTCGGGTACTGGCATGACTGAGGGGCTCAGAGGATCAAAGTATTCCTATAAAGACTGGGGAGCCCTTGCAGACTTGGAAGGCACGGAGAAGTGGAGGGACATGGACAGAATGCGATGCCTTGACAAGAATGGGGAGCTTTCGACTCCCAGGAATGCTGGCAGTATTGGGGCACTGGCAGATCGAGGAATGCAATGACAAAATGAATCGCTAGCAGAATCGAGCAATGCAGAAAAAAATTGGTACTGCCCAAAGGCCTGGAAACCCTAAGAGGCCCGTTGCCCCTCCCGCCTCAGGGCCTGGGTCGCCAACTCTCCGGTCTTAGTGACCACTCAGGTTCTGGGAGCCCCACTAAGGCGTGAAAAGACCACCTCAGGCCAGGGCTGGGACCCCAGCCGGGGTCTCTCCGGCCGCCCCGCCCCCAAAGCTCACCTGACCGCCTCCCCGGTCCGCAGGAAGCGATGGATGGCTCTGTCGGCCGCAGTCATCACCCGGGAGCTGAGCATAGCAGCTCCGCCACTGCCCCCTCCGCCGGACTGAGGGCTCCGGAGGTTCCCGAGGCGGCGGAACCTGCGGCCAAATGTCCAGATACTTAAGGAGGGTAGGTAGGCCGAACACTGGCACCTGGAACTTACCGGAAGTAGCCGTCACCGGAGCACAATAGCCGTAGGACCACGTCCTTCCTTCTCCGTTCGCAAAGGACGTAGGCTTAGGATGCTAAAGGAAGCTTAGAGGCCTCGGGCTGCTGCTTTTTCAGCTTTTACCCTGGGCTTCTCACATGAATACAGATGCCCGCTTCTAGGAGGGACTATGGATCATGATTTGAATTTCTCTCTCAGTGTGGAGAGGGCGGCCAAAATTATCATTACTGTTGTCAGAGGAAATACAAGGGTGGGCCTGTTCTAAGATGTGGCCCAGCTCCGACAGCATCATTGCGAAACCGGGGCCTTAAATAATAGTAACACTGTTTCCTTAGGTACCTGGTACACTACTAAGTGCACCACATATTTGAGGGGGTGGGAAAAAAAGTGAAGATAATGAAACAAACTTTGGTACATACACAATATGCAATGTTGAAGAATAATGAAGACTCCGCAAAACAGTCCACAACATGGATGAACCTGGAGGACATTATGCGAAATTGCTAAGTGCTGTGGACTCACTGAGACCCTGTATAGGATTTCCTAGGAGCGACAGGTGGATTTGAACTGCTGGCCTTGCGGTTAACAGTCCAATGGTTATCCTACAACACCATACCAGACTCTATGGGTAGAAGTGGAAATGCCAGAGATTGAACCCAAAGCCTCATACATTCAAAACCCTACCACTGACCTATATATCCCCTTGCTGAGCCAGCTGGCTCTGAGGCAAATTAGTAAAAATCACAAAAGGACAAATATTGCATGAGACCTCTGTTATACAAAGAAAAGATTTTCTTGCTAAATGAAACATTCTCTGATGGTTACAGATTCCTGGTGTGGCACTGTAGGATAAGCACTGGACTGGGAACCAAAATGTGGGTGGTTCAAACCCACCAGCTGCTCCTTGGAAACCGTGTACAGGGTCGCTAAGGCAATTAACAACATTACAGGACCCGTGTGGGTTGGGAGGAGGGTAAAAATAAAGTGTATAAAGGTAAAATCTGTTAACTGATGGTACATGGAATTGATTGCAATCGTTGTAATAACACGAATTATACTGATGTGTAGAATGTGGAACGGATGATCTTTGTAAACCTTCACTCAATTCACAATAAAAAGTTAAAAAAAATACAGAGGTAATAAATAGATTTTTCCCAGGAAGATTTTGAAGCCATGCCCCCTTGTATATATTCATATTTTATCTTAACACCAACCTAGGACACTATCCACATTTTAGATCTCAGTGAACTCAAGAAGTTTATAACTCTTGACACAGCTTGTAAGGTGTGAAATCAAGATTGATATGTCTGTCTACAGAATAGTGCAGTCCAAGGGAAATATAACAGGAGTCATACATTTTTTCTAGTTGTTGTTAAGTGCCACTGAGTTGGTTCCAACTCATAGTGACCCTGTATAGTGTTTCCAAGGAGCACCTGGTGAGTTTGAACCACTGACCTTGTGGTTCAAACCGTCCAGTGCTTTATCCTACAGTACCATTTTAAAAAAGGAAACAGTAACAGGTGACCTTGATTCAAAGTTTTTAAAACTTTATATTGTTGAATCTATACAACAAAATATATACCAATTCAACTGTTTATATACATTTCAGTTATACGGATTACATTCTGAGTTGTGCAACCTGTTGTTACCCTTACGTAATCTCCTTTTCTGAGTTGTTTCTCCCACACTAACATAAACTTGTGTCTCTCTAAAGCTCAGATCTAATCTTTCTAGTTGTTATTGTCAATTTAAGCCAATATAGGTAGTTAAAGAGCATGATGCTCTCAAACCAGATCTTTTTTACTAGTTAAATTAAGCTGGGAGTCCTAGTGTGGCACTGTAGGATAAGCACTGGGCTGATAACCACGAAGTCAGCGATTCAAACTCACCAGCCTTTCTTCAGAAACCCTGTACAGGGTTGCTATGAATCAGAACTGACTCAACAGCTCTAACAATTGTTCAGATGGAGCATGATGGCTGTGTATGGTAAGTACTAGACACTGAACCTAGTAGCAATTGGGAGCACTATGACTCTGTAGGATAAGACTAAGTACCATACAAGGTTGGCAGTTCGAGCCCATCAGCTGCTCTTGAGGAGAAAGATAAGGTTTTCTGCTCCAGCAAAGATTTACAGCCTTCGAAACCCTATACAGGGTTGCTATGAGTCAGAACCGACTCAACAACACTTAACATTTTTGTTTTAAGAAGACCTCAGGGGATATTTGTGGTTTAAGGTTTAAAGATTATCTGAGGGCAATAGCTTCAGGGGTTCACCCACCCTCCAAGGCTGCAGAAAGTTGGGAGTCAATGAAATTTGGTTCTTATTTCCCCCTTTTGTAAAAGGATTCTTCTATGAAATCTTTGATCAAAGTGTTCAGTAATGGTAACTGGGCACCATTCAGTTCTGGTTTTACAGCAAGGAGAGTTAGCCTCCACACACTCCATTGTTGTTAGGTGCCATGAGCCTGTTCCAACACTTAGTGAGGATGCTCTCACAACAGAATAAAACACTGCAAGGGGGGGAGGGGTTTCTGCTTGAGCCCCTTGTTGCCACCACTGTCACTGCATCTCATTGAGGATCTTTGTAGGGATAGAGCACTCCAAAATTGCCACCCTAATGTCAACTCAAACCATCTCTCCTCCCTTCCCCCTGTTCCCATTATCTCATGCTTTAATTAGGCCTATGCTAGGAAGGAACTGGAGTCCTGGTGTGGCGCTGTGGGCTAATGCGTCAGACTACAACGTTGTTTGAACTGCAAAGTCGGTGGTTCAAGCTCACTAGCTAGCTGCTCTTTGGAAACCCTACACAGGGTGGCTGTGGGTCGGACACACGCACTTAACAAACAGGAAGGAACAGATAGCCCCCTCTTCCGGCTATGGCTATGCCTACCTAATCTCCTTGCTCTCACGTTTTAGTTATGCATACACCAGGAAGGAGGCATCAGTCCCCTCCTCCTGTTATGCAGACCAAAACTCTTTGTTCTCTGGAAAGGGGCAGGCAGCCCTGTACCTTGAGACTTTCCTACTTTTTCCTTAATCTGCATACCACCCTTAACTACCCTGCTACCTTGTTGTTGTTGTTATGTGCAGTGGAGTAGCTTCCGACTCATAGTGACCCTGCACAGGGTTTTCCGAGGCTGTTAATCTTTATGGGAGCAGAAAGCCTCATCTATCTCCCGCGGGACAGCTGGTAGTTTTGAACTGCTGATCTTGCGGTTTGCAGCCCGATTCGTAACCACTACGCTACCAGAGCTCCTTCTATGAAGCTAGTATACACCATGATTTTAAAAAGACCTTAGCCTATGCCCCTTGCATGAGAAATCTTGACTGTCCAGCCGGCTGCCCCTGGAGATAGGATGTCCACATCCTGGTTGCTAAATTCCCCTGTTGGAAAACCATCTCTTTTATTTTCTTTTCTGTAGTAAACTAATGCCTTCCAGATTGGTCCCTGATTATCCCTCCACGTTCCCCACCCCCATTATCCTAAATCTCCAAACCAAGCAACCAAATCTTATGAGGTATTTGGTGAACATGATTTTAATATGTTATTTAGTTCAATAGGTCAAAAGTATGATCATTTTTCTATAAAATTATTAATGAAATAAATGACAATCTTTTGTGCCAAGCACATTTTAATTTGGATTGGTCACTTTTTACTGTGGGTTAGTGTGTTGGATGGCAATGTCTATTTGAACCCCAAGGTCAGTGGCTCAAGCTCACCAGCCACTCCTTGGAAACCCTATACAGGTTCACTTTGAGTTGGAACCCACTTGACTCCACGGCACTTAACAACACTAACATTTGCTACAAGTAGCCAATAGTTAACATATTGGGCAGTATAACTTTTGGAGCACTAGGATCAGAGACAATTTACCTTCCTTTAAAATTAGTTTTCCCAACTCCAGAGGCAGTGATTACAACTTATTTGGTTACAAAAAAAAAAAAATTAAATGCTGCAGTTCAAACTTTTTGGTCTCAGGACTTCTTTGTAGGTTTAAAAATGATTGGTTGAGAGCTTTTGTCTATTAGATTATATCTATATGTGTAAAGTATAGAAATAATTTTTACTAGAAAATAAAGTTAGAAATATTTTTTGGCTTATTAATTGAGGTACTATTTCCACAGTCAAATCTGGCCATTTTCAGTGAAGAGTTTCTTTGATTTTTGACAAATGCATATAGTCATGAAGCACCACCCTGATCAAAATATACAATCATCAACTCCAAAAAAATCATCTCCTGTCAACCTCTACCCACCACTGATCAAAAGTAAGAAATATTTAAAACCAAATAATGCCTAAACACAATCCATTACTATCAGAATAAATAATGACCTCTTCACACACTGGGCAGCTTCTGGAAAACACCAGCACATATTCACCTGAGAATATGAGTGGAAAAAGCTAAATAATGTCTTAGTATTATGATGAAGGAGTCCTGGTGTGGCGCTGTAGGCTAATTTGTCAGACTGCAAAGTCCTTTGAACTGCAAGGTCAGTGGTTCAAGATCACCAGCTGCTCCTCAGACACCCTATACAGGGTCGCTATGGGTCGGAACTGACTTGACGGCACTTAACAACAATAACAAATTATGATGAAATTAGTTTAAACCTCAAGAAGCCCCTTAAAAAGTTTTGGGGGCTCTGGTACTGTAGTGGTTATGAATCAGGCTGCTAATCTCACGGTCAGCAGTTTGAAACTACCAGCTGTTACGCGGGAGAAAGCTGAGGCTTTCTGCTCCTGTAAATATTTTACAGCCTTGGAAACCCTGTACTGGGTCACTATGAGTCGGAACCGACTCCACGGCACATAACAACAAGGTGCTTGCAAACTACAGGTTGAGAACCACTGTTTTAGCTTCACCTGG